GGGGATGTGCTGGGAGGGGGTTTTTCCTTTCCTTTGGTGGTTTTTTTTTTGCACTCTTCTAATGGCATGTGGTCCAAGGAGTCAGGAGGAGGAGGAGTACCACTGCGTGCGGTCGGGTCATGTGGCAGAAACACTTTTCGCTCCCTCTCACATCATGTGTTATGCCATTAAGTAGAATGCATATGCTTTTGTTTCGCAGAGAAATGTTATTGGTGGTATTTCTATTGTGTTTTTTTTTTTGTTTGTGGGTTCAAATTTCCTTCAAAGCCACAAAAAAAAAAAAAATAAAAAAACCCACCCGACTTGGGGTTCTTTGAGAAGTCACAAAGTCTTATAGATACAGGAGATCTGATCAGTGTGGTTAGCTTGAGTTGCCCGAGATCTGTCAAGGAATACAAGTGGAAGGGGTTCTTGCGTGGGCAAGTAACCACTGTAGGAACCCGCGGGCAGTGGTAAGGGGTTTACTCCTCCCGTGGCATCACATACGGATCTGATCTGCCCTGGGCTGCTCAAGCTAATTGACCGGGGAAAGGGGCGAGCGGTGAAGTGAGAAGGCTTGGTGGTGGTATTAAGCTGTTGAAAAATACTAAGGACAAGGGTCAGCTGTGAAAAAAAAACAAGAGAAGGACCTTATAAGGTTGCCTGGGCAGTAACATGACAAATGAAATGGCAGAGAGATGTACGTGAACGGAGGGAACCAGCTTTCCGTGTAGAAGATGGTCTGTGAGCTCACCCTTATTACCTTGGAGATAGACTTTGGTATCATGACAGAATGAAGTTTTCGTGGGACTGGGCTGTACCACTTTTCATAGGGCCGCTTGGTGCTGACAGTGGCCAAAAGCAGATGCCAAGGGAAGAAGGAGGAAATTTAGAGCAGCCACATGGAGATGCTTTCCACTGCCATTGTACCAACCTCCAAAAATGTGCAATTCAAGGCCTTCCCTGGTGAGAAGTTTAAACTCGTGGCAGGTTTTTGGTGGCTTATTAGCCAAGGCATAAGAACAGGATGTGTGATGTGGTCCGTTTGAGTGGGGAGTTAGATTTTGACATATAGTATCTTTGTAATTGTGTAAAGGCAAGATAAATATCAGAGAGGATAGGAAGAAGACAGAGCGATCCTAACTGTTGCAGGACCGATCTACAGTTCTTGGCTAAGGAAGTCAAGACAATTCTTGAACTGTGAGCTGTTTCCTTGCAGTTACTCATTCACAAATGTACTTTGATGCAATCATGCTGGTATTCACTGTTATGACCCGAGGATTTTATGGGATGAAAATAGAAACTTCCACAAATAAAGTAATCTCCTGCTGTAAAAGTGTTTCTGAGGAGCACTTTGACACACCTGCATATATTCTGAAGAGGTGGGTCTAACATATTAATGAGAACTTAGTGAGATTATAGAAATGTATGAGTACAAACAGTTTCGATTTAAAAAAAAAAAGTCTCTTCTTCCATTGAAAGGTATTCTTTTAAGGCTAGTAATAATTTTTTTGTGCCTTACTATCTCTTAATAATCATCCTTGTGGTCTGCAAGAGATGGTTTTAAAATTTGAGTGTGTGTTCAAGTATTTGGAGAAACAAAAAACACAAGTTCTATCATTTCTTATTCTGGAAAGGCATAATACTAGGAAGTTTGTGGCTTGGTTTTTAAGACAGAATTAAGGAGTCTCTGGTACTGGAGGAAATGATGCTTTGTGGCCTGTAAATATATTAAGAATATGCCCACGTTTCCTGATGTGCTCATACCTCAATTCACTTAAAACAGCCAAGTTGAGACTTCATAGTTTTAGTAAAGACCACTGTTTGTTTGGCACCATATCTGTAATGTCTTGTTATGCAGAGAGACATCTGAGGAAATGGACTCTGTTAATGATTGAACAGAAACACGTAGCTAAATAACTACTGTATGGACAATTACTGGTTTGTGCCTTTGCTTTGTTCCTGCAATAGTGAACTGCTGCTGTGTTTGTGCAAATTGTAACCTACAAAATTGGAGGAGGACGTCTGTGGAATAAAATAAGTCTCAAATTAAATGTACATCTTTCTGAAAAATACTTGTGAAAATAAGGTAAATAAAAACTATTTTAAAACAAGGTGGTTTGTTTCAAGCAGATGTTTGTGTTCATGGGTAGGATTGAAAAATTCAACAGAGTTGTCTTTTTTTTTTTAACCCGCCTCTGGTGCAGATGTGAGTTAACCTTATTTAATATTATGCAGTGATGTGTTTCTGTGTTAATAGGAAGGGACTGTCCAGAGGTCCCACAAATCAGTGTCTTTCTGGAAAAAGTGGAGAATCTCTTCCAGCAGTTTTTGCAAGAAACGTGCAGGAAGCCATCGACAATTATACTTGGTATGCATTTACTTCTGAAACAGTACTTCATTAACAGCCTCTTGGCTTAAATAGATATTTCAAGATTGGTATTCATTTTCACTAATCATGCTTCTAGTCATTCTCACGGATGACAACTATTGCAGGATATAAATTGACCTGACCCGTTGTTTAGAGGGTTTGAAGGTTTGTCCTTGTTGATGTTATGGATTTGCACATTTTTAGAGCATAGTAAAGGGTACCGATTAGGCCTGGAAGGGAAGTCAGACTTCATGGTTAAATGCAAATCATACTCACCAGCTTTGCAGGTCAGTTAACTTTCATTCCAGTTGGCAGTGGTTAGGATTTACCTGGCCTTGCACATCTGACTGCCCTTGCTTTCACTGCATCCCAGGGTGGGGAGCAGTTGGTGGGGACCAGCTAGAGCTTTCCAAGAGCTGGAATCCTGGAGCTCAAGGTTTGAGGTGCACCAGGTCTAACAGCATAAAAGCCATTGCGTACAGATATGTAACTCAATGCTAATTGAAACATTTGCAGAGATGTTATGCTCAGATTTGCAAAATTTTTCTTGTGATAACTTCTAATGGAGTTAAAGCAAGCTTATGTTATCTTTACTGTGTGGTATTTGATGTGCCCATTAGCTGAACTGGAAAAACAAAAATAATTGTCAGAGGTGGAAATGTAGGTGGGTGAGTGTGTCTATATTCAAATACATATATATGTGCATATGCATATTTTAGAGTGCCCTTGTCATTACAATGGTGTACATACGTACAAAAGCATAATAGTATAGAAGGAATTGCCTTTAAGGCAGTAAATGGTACAAATAGGAGCATGTATTCATTGCACTCTACTTAAAAACACACACTTGCAACTCCTCACATCGACAGGAATACGTATCGCTGTCCACCAGTGTGATCGGTTGCATTATTTGTAAAATATTTATACAGAGAACCGTTGTGTTCTTCATTTTAATTTGTTGTCTTTTCACAGTGAAACGCTTTCATCATTTTCATCTAGTGATCGTACAACACCCACGGAGTCGAATAATTCTTGGTCTGGAATAAACAGCTATACTACTGGTTTGTCTACTGAAAGAAGTTCAGTTTACTCCTGGAGGGATGATGTAAGTCACAGAAACTTTTACAGTATGCTTTCTGTAAATATTGTGGAAAAGATTAATTTCTACAGAACAAGGACATGCAGCACCTCTGCTGTAGAAGGAGTTAATGACTTTGATCCATAATAGACTTGTGATTAAGTGTATTAATTGAATGTTTAAAAAATAGTTTTGTTTGCAAGTTGATATCCGTGCAGCTGATGTGTAACAAAGAAAAGTAAAATGAAATTATGACATTTGGGCAAAACAAACTTGTTTTGCCGAAGAAGGTAGGCTTAGGTTTCTGAGTCCAAGAGAGTGATAAAATGCATGTTTTCAAATACTGCATAACGCAGATGATGTCTAAAATGAATTATTCTCAATGTTTTGAGTCCTAAAGTGTGTTCATGAACATGCATGTAAATGTCCCAGTCTCAGTAAGTATTTATCTCTTACCTAAGCTCAGTTCTGTTTGGTAGGTGATGCAGAGAGGTTAAAACCCGTTATGGAGGCTGACCTCCGGGGCATACTTGGTGCAGGCTGGCAGTGTTAAATGAATTCAAAAGCGTTGCAGTTGCTGCCACTTTTCATTTTAAAAAGCCATCCAGGGCTGGTAGCGGTAGTTCTGCCATACCTTTTGCATAATGCCCTAACTTTTAGGGTACTGACCCCATCTGTTGCTGCCAGCCCTCCAGGAGAAAGCCTGACGCTAGATTGTGCAATAACCTGGGTAAGCGTTATTTTCCCATTCCTTTTCGGTGTGATCCCTTCTTGTAGCCTGAAGTGGTTGGGGCACTCAGCTGGAAGTGAATGAATATGATTTGGGCCCTGAGTGTTGCCACTTTTTTCAGTGTATCGAAGTTTTTAATGTAAGTGGCAAATATCGTTATGAACAGTGCCCCAGCCGGGGAACCCTCAGCCAAGTGCTTGTGTCCACATCACTGGATAAAGTCAGACGCTTCTCTGATGTGTTCGTATGCCCCTGCGCTCACCCCTTTCAACTTGCACTGAGTTGTAGCTTCAGTGAAGAGGTGTGGAAAGCCATTTCTCACGCTGACGGCTGTTTCCTGACCGCCGGACTATGTCATGCAGAAGGAAAGTGCCCTCCTGTGCCCTCTTAGCTAGTTTTCTCAGAAAGGAACAGTGCTGCTCAAAAGAGCAAGGAGCTTTGGTGCCGTGGGTCCCGGAGATGCAGCATGCGTGCTTCACTTCATGTCGGAGCAGGGAGCAAGCTGGGAGTCCTGTTGGCTAATCCTAGGTAGTTATCCATTAACTTTATGGAAGTATAGGCTTCTAGTTCCTTTTCGCTAGATTGCCTTGCTCAGGCCAGCTATGTGGGATTTTTTTTTCCCACTGTGGTGTATAAATTATGTGTCCAAAGTAGGTAATCTGAAGATCCATTCTGAGATGCTCAGCCAAATCAGTCCAGGTTGTTTTGTTCTTTGAGTATTGTGAGTTTTTTAGTATATATGCATATTTGCTAACAACTATTAATTTCATAATGTGTAGGAATTTGATAAAGCTAACGCACAGAGAGTCCATCAGTTATTTTGGGAGATTGATGAAATGCTGTTTGAAGGAAAAGTCACCTCTCAAACTCAGAGCCTACAGGCAGAATGTGCAGACTGGGTTGAACAATTTCCTCATCTAAGGTAAGGAAATTTCTTGCTGGTACTAGTTTTAACCAGTTATCACTCTACTTTGAATTTTTGGGGTACCCTTGCATGAATTGCTCTTGATGTATGGCATCGGTAACACATTGGCATTCAAATCTGGATCTCTAGGACTCAGCTGTGCCATGATTACACAGGAAGTTTGTGTGTTGGTGCATTAGCAGCTAATGCTCTTTATTTTGCTTAATACAATGTTTGCAGGCAAAGATATTTTAGTAGGATGCAATGAGAAAATAATGACCATTTTCATAATGACTTTTTCTAAATAAAGAATACATCTTGTAAAGAAATACTTGTTTTTACTGTAAGTGAAAACACACTGTGAAATTCCAAGGAATTCAGTGTTAATTCTGTTACTGATTCTTCTAAAAAGAAATGAGAAATGAAGGTGACCACATGCTTCACAAATACTGCACAGCTGTAATGTCTTCCTAGGCTAGGTAAATCAATGTAAAATGGTGCGTGATACTAACCCAGCAATAACTAGTTGAGATATGAGGATGCATACGTGATTAATGAGAATTGTTTTGCATAGATGTGCAAAATATCTAGGCAGCCTGATGGCGACTTCTTATAACACAGGGGACAGAACCCAGTGTTGCACTGTGTTGTACTGTCTTACCTTCATAAACGATGGCATCTCATTCTTTGTGAGATGTGGTGACTCTAAGCTATTCTGAACATAGACCTGCATGTGTCTGTCTTGTAGTCGATAGTTTGTTAACACCATTAAAAACAATGCTGTCAGTAACTGTGGTATGCTCTTGGTGCTTTTAAGATAATTCACGGAGGCTTGTTACTAGTCAATATAGACTAAAATCAACTAACAAAGCTTGTCACAGTTTGTCAGGAGCAAGAGAGAATTGTTAAATAAATGTGAGGCAATTTTCACTAACGTTAAGCCATGCTTTGCCTTGTTTAGATACTGTAAAAATTAATGGAACATGCATAAAAGGGAGACAGGTTTTTGTGCTGTGTAATTCGTTCAAAATATTAAGTAATTTCAGTATATTTTTAGAGGATTTTTCACTACGTGGAATTTTAAGTGATTCCCTGTGCTTACGATTTTCTGGTTCAAATGTAATGCTGGCGGTACCAACCAAGTCCAAGAGTTTGGACATGAACTGAAAAAATCTGGGAGCTCTGTGTCATTTGGCACTAAGGGATGTGGTACATCCTGTGGTTTAAAAAGAAAAAAAATTTTTCATTATTAAGCTTAAACCTTAAAACTCAGTTTGTGTTGGCTAGTTACTCAAAATAATGGCTTCTGGGATGGCAGATTTGATTCTGAGACTTGTGCTTCAAGTTGCTCACTGACTGTTCTTTTTTTTCAATTTGTAAAACAGCTATGTCAATATATGAGTACTTAGCTCAGCATGTGGCAATAAATATACTTGAGAACTATCATCAATAGGGGAAAGATCAGATCTATTTAAAGAGAAAGCTTTTTGCTCTTGGCTTACAAAATAAAAAGTAAAAAAAGTTACTGCTTGGAGCTTCATGTGGCATAAAGTGCTGTTCTGTAAAAGGTAGTCTCAAGAAAATGTGTTCAGGTGAATCTGAACATTGCTGCTTGCACTACAGATGCAACTGGTAAATTCTCTTGAGATCTGTTGAGAATTCTAGTGAAAACAATTCAGTAAGCAATGATTGTTTACCTATACTGTGTTCAGAAGTTATTTTACAGAGTGATTTTTATGTACATTAAAGTAGAGTTGCTTTTACCTTTTCTCTCTGCCTCTGCATAATGCATGTTGGAGTTTGTGCGTTTTCCGAAGATTAATTCTAGCCTTAACTACCCATGTAAACATTTTGGATTAGGACTTCTGCTCACATTGAAGGATGCTGGAGTTGGATAAGTGAAGTCATAGCAGCTGTTGTTTGTCTTCTGCATCCATTTTTAAACACCTCTTATGGAGTTTTCATAAGAAAGGAAGTGTGTTTATCTGCCTCTGGAACAATCTAACAAATTTGACTATTTGCTCTTAAAAATTACAAGTGAGAATCTCATCATGTGTAAATCAGCTTAACTTTAATGACTTAAATGCTAGACAATGTTAATGTATTACACAAAGCCCTGGCCCTTCCGTAAATTGCTTTTTCAAAGCAAATGTAAGGTGCGCTTTTGCGTTGCCTACTGTTTGCAGGTATTTGTATTCTTGATATTTGCATATGGAGTGGATTTCCATCTAAGACATTGCTCTCTCTCTCCTTTCTATTCAGGGTTCTAGGAAAGCAGCTCCTATTGCCAAAAGATGAAGGCTTTCAGCATTTTCAGAGCAGAAGTGATACCTCTGTGCATACTAGGTGTTTACCTGACATCCGTGAATGTACTAGTAATACAAAAGAGTATGTTATTCTTTTTTGAAGTTTTCTTTTTTGGTCTTCTCTCTTCAGAAATATGTACAAATATTACTGTTGTATTACTGAAACGTTTCAGTATAATTAAATATGCACTTTCTTCTTTTTTTGATATTCGATTCCCTTTTTTTTTTTGGTATTTTTCCAGGCTATGCATTTCAGGCTCTAAACTGATCCCAACAGCATCTCCAATACATAAATCACTAGATTCAAGTTCCACTAGGATTTCTGCTTCTGACTCCTCCGTGTATTTGTTCCTGGAAGAAGAAATCTATGATGTGGATGGAAAAATAGAAGAATATCTTGCCTTTGACAACAGGGAGCTGTAAATAACATAAATATGTATTTTTGAAGAATATAATGAAAAATTATCGGTGAACCCCGTGAGGGTTCATAAACTGTGTTTCTCTTCTGTGAAATACTGTTCCTTGTGTCCCTGTATTCAGTAGCACGGTGGTCAGAGCACTCGCTGGGCATGTGGAAGATTAGGTATGTCGTCTTTCTAGTGGTTCAGAACCCACATCTCCCCTGTCAGAGGAATGTGTCTTAACCACTAGTTGTTTTGAGGTGTTTTGTGCATGGAGATTCAATAAAATGAATATTTCATTTTGAGACAGGGAGTAGAATGAAGGAATCCCTTCTCCCCAAGTGAGTACCTTGACCACCAGGTTGTTTAGGGTCATTACACTGTCCGTGCTCTCATGGTCTGCCCTAACGAATCTAAAATTCTTGCTGTGCAGTGTGTAATAGCTTTGTGAGGAGAGGTGCAGGATGCAACCCACATTTAGAGCACTCCTGTGAGTGACAGGAGTCACACAACTGTCGTCTTGACAGTGCAGCCTAGGTTTCCTGTGAGCCAGTTGCATGTTCCAGCAGCTGGGCTACTGGGTGGATGAAAGACTATAATGTGCTGTTTTCTAATAGGCTTCTATGAGGGTGAAGCTTTGGTAGGATTTGTGGGGCACAAAGTGTAGTTTTTTGTGCTAAAGCTTGATGCTCTTACAGGAAAAAGACATGGTTGCTTTAGAAAAACTGAGGAACCAGACTGAGACCCTTTCAGTTCTGTTTTTGAAAGAGAGGACTTGGGTGGCTGCCTTTTTGGAAAGGGTTTGGGTTTAAGAATCCTCTTAGGATTCTTCTCGCTTTGTTTTGCTAAGTGAGCAAACTTACTTTGAGAGAGACACTTGACTGAAAGTGCATTTCTCTCCTTTGTGCCTCCTTGATGTTTCTTGTTTCCTTCAGTTCTGAAATATTTTGTTCTCCATAACTAAAACGTTAGGTGTTACAAAGCCTGATACGAAAACAGCGTGGTCATTTTGTGAGTTGGACCATTCAGCCAAGTCTTAGTTATAGTTAAGAAGTTTGCAGTCCAGTTTGAGGAAGAAGTGACTGAGAAAAGAAAGGGAGATAGTAGAAACCAGTATGAATTTGGGATCATCCTTGTAATCTAATAAGAAATTGCATTTTCTTAGAAAGAAATATGATGGCATTAAAAAAAGAAAAAGGTTAAAACTTTCTTCCTGGGAGGTGTACTAGAAGACCAAGTTAGGAAATGTTGCTGCACTGTGCGTCCCTAGGGAGAGAGGGAGGAGGGAAATAAAAAAATTAAAAATGTAACTGTCCACACAATAGTGGAAGGGAAGGAGGTGGGTGTAAGGCTGTGGGCTCTACTGTTGTGGTTAGGCTGCAGAAATCCTTTAAAGTTGTTTGTCTTTGATCAGTGGTGGAGGGTTGCAGATGTGTGCAGGTACACAGGACGTGATCAAAAAGAAATGTTCTATGTGATAGTCCTCCTGCCAGATGCAACAGACAGTAATTCCCTTATGTTAGGTAAAAAGCATAGGATTTCATCTCAAATGACTAAGTGCCATGTATAAAGCTGTTGCTTCTAGAGCTGCAGATCTTTCTGTTGTAATGCCCTGACTGGATTTTTTAATTTTTCACCTGCAAGCAAAACAAAAAGAAGTCATTATATGTATTTGATAGGTTCTGTTCCCATAGATACTCCGTATGTTTGAATTTGTATTTTTTTGTGATCTACATCTGACTGGCTTTTCTTCCATATCTATGTTTATATTCATTCAGTTTATTAGAAGGAGGGGGAAAAAAAGTCAAAACCTGTGGGAGTTCATTTGAATTTGCTTCTTTTATTAGTGATGATGAGAGCTGGGAACAAGAGAAAATGCATCTTGCTGACAAGAGGAGTAAGCGTGGCATTCCCCCTGTTTCTCCCAATGCCTGTATCAAAGATGCTGTGGCTTCTGAAGTATTTGATTGTATCTGGAGCAATATCATTGGAATATTGGAGGAACTGATTAAAAAAAATTGGGAAACTAGTATCACAGGTATTTGGCATTTTCAAAGATGTTATTTGTCACATCTAACTCAGGTAATTTTTTTTTTGTTTGGGGAATCTGGTTATTTTAAGATAACCGTGTTGATAGTACAGCACTATAAAACAGGTAATGCCTTGCCACGGGCATGCACATACACGCGCATGCACCTAAAATAAAATTGCTGACTTTTAGGGAGTTTTGTATGAGGTGTAAGAAAAGGAAGAATACTGACTGAAAGAGCTTCATTACAGGAGAGCATGTTTAAAAAAAAATAAAATCACTGGGTCGGGATGCAAATTGATGCTGTTAGCAGGGGATCACTGACAACGTGGTCTGAATCTGGAACCTAGGAATCAAAGTCTCCCAGTCCTCGTTGTTTGAGCTTTGTTAATAAAAAGAACCCTTAGGTAATCAGGTTGTTAAAGCAAGATAGACAGTCTTGCTGACAGTGCAGAAGTTATGAGTTTAACAAGGAAAAGCAAAAACTAGGAACATAAACCAGAAGTGAAATTCTAATTAGAGTGCATGTGTAATCTTTGGAGGCTGAGGGAAATTTCAGTTCTCTTTCAATGTATTTTAAAAGGATAGTAACAGAAGAATACCTGGGGGTGGGTTTTGGAAGTTACCTCAAATGTAAGGTACACTCAATTTCTCAGAATACTTGCAGCATGAGAGCTTAACATTTCGGGTGTTACTGAAATACAAAAGGGCTTTTCACACCACAGGTGGATTGTTTAGCTCAATATTATAGTTTAGGGAGGATAGCTTAGCAGTTTTATAAGTGTGCTCTTTCATCTTATAACAAATAGATAGCTGACTAAAGTATTTCAACTAGGAATATAGAAGAATTTGAGTTTATAATAGAAATAAGATGGTAGTACATACCCAAAGTGAAACAGTGTGTAGCTAGTGTCAGACAAGGGTAGGATCACTAGACTTTTTATATATATATCTGTTCCTTTTTTCTGTCTTAAAAAAGAAATGTTTGGGAATTTTTAAAGAATATTCCAAGACTCTTAGCAGTATTTTCTGAAACAGACACCCCCACCCCCCACCCCCAACTCTACCTGTATAGAACAAAAAGCATAAGCAAGTGGGAATGCTTTCAGAAAAACATCATTTATGGTAAATTTTTAAATATCATGGAAACTTAAAAAATATAAAATTCTTTATTTACTGTGAAGCGTAATAATGATGGCTGGTAAACATACAAAATATCTTATTCCCTCTAGTCTTTTTTTGCTGTTGTGCAGAATGTGACAAACAGGTGGAAAAACTGAAAGCTGTTAAAGCAAAACTACCACATTTGCCAGTTGTTCGAATTACAGCAGATGCTGGGAGTGTTCCTCTTTCCAGAGGCTCTGAAGCACGAAGTGTATCTTTTGGGCCTCATTTTGTTTCCTCACAGGTAAAAATAACTATCTGTCAAATGGTGTTCTTTTTTCTGCTAACCTTGGACAGAGTCCTGGTTGAAGATAGAAAAGGCTCATTTTTTTCTTTTTTTTTAAAAGCAAATAAGTATACTTAAAATAAGTAATCTCATTTAGAATGAATGTTCATTAAATATGCATGTCTTGTTTAGTGTTGCTTGTTCTTTGATTCTTACAGGTGCCATTTATCACTAAGATATTGCTGAAGTTGGTTTACAGAAAGCACTTGTTAGACTGTATTCCATCCTTAGAAGTAATTCTGCTTTTACTGTGGTCCAGTCACTTTCTCTTGGTAGAATTAAGAAAACAAATCAGAGTCTTCCCTGGACTGCAGGGATGTGAAGTTGCAACTTGAAGTGCTTTACTGGCAAACTAGTGAGTTTAGGACTCTCTCATTCCTTTTCATTTCCTTTGCCCCTTGTAAAGGGGACACCAGCGCTGCCACTGGGCCTTACCTGTCTTTGTGGAAGCTCATGTTTGTATTGCTAAAAATGCCCTCTTTTTGTCCTGCTTGCTGCTTCCTCCCTCTGTCCCCTGGCTCCTGTTTTGCACATTTTTTTTCTTTTCC